TAAATTAATTTGATTTTATTCTATAGTCTCTATTAATGACTTAGGCCAGTTCTTCTATAGAAGTGTTTATACCCCNCTTATACCAATATCAACATTTAAAACAGATAACTGTATTCAAGAAATCAGAAATTTAAAAGTCTAATTTGTTCGTCATTCTTTGGAGTCCGATGACTTTTTTTTTAAGAAACATAAATATTCATTACATAATCATCAGGGTTTTCTCCAATATAACCATGTGGCAGTCAATCATGTGATACACAAGGGAATTTCAAACTCCATAAATGACTTGATACACTGTTGTTTTTTTTCTCAAAAAAAGTTAATGAAACATCAGAGCCAATTCTAGGTCCATTATCCATGTCTGATGAGAGGCATTGTGAAAGTGGTCTATTTTAAATCTATCCAATTTGACAGATTCCTCCAAACCTGAACCACCATCAGAATTAAATATTCCTGCTGTTGTTGGTGGAATAGTAGCTGCAGTTGTTGTTATAACAATTGTAATTGTAGCTGTAATTGTGATTAAGAAAAGTAAGTTGAATATTTTCATTTCCTAATGAAAAAGACTAATATCTCTCAAAAGAGGAGTATGAAGGATTGCATGAATTTCTTTCTTTTAAAAATTTATGGGATCGCATCTGCCTTTCTAACTATCACCAATGGCATGAAGATTTCCCATATTTTTAATTATGTAGTCATGAATTATTTATAAACAGTTTCATTATGGTTATCTTAATGCCGTTATTGTTCCTGACCAAAGTATATTCCTGTGGATCCTCCAAAAGGGTTGCACACACATTAGCAACCTGTCTTCTGGAGGAGTGAGCATGCCCTGTGTACACATACTTATTATAATGGAGCTCAAACTCATTAGTTTTTGGAATGGAACAGTTTTATTCTCTTAGGCATAAATATGAGAAATTTTAACAAATTGCAATGTTTTTTAGGAAGGAATAGTGAACCTGAGTAAGTTGTTTTTAAGTTTATTTCTGTTTAATTTGTTTTGGTTAGTTGTGACCATCAATAAATGAAGAATATAGTATGTTAACAATTAACCAGGGAAATTTTTACCACAAAAAAATTGCTGCACAGCTCTCTGTAGCTTTTAACATCCATGTCATATTTTTCGGTTGCAACTACCTTTCTGAGATCTAAATTCAACATGAAAGCAGACAGCATTGGTTTTAATATTCTTGTCATAAGAAAGTTGTCCATGGAATTCAGAAGCCTTGCCACTCAAATCTGTTATATTTTTGCTGTGATCTTAATTGTTAATGTCAATAGTATGACTAGTAATATATTCATTCTTTACTATATTGTTAATCTCTAAAATTTCATTTTATTTTGATCAGTGCCTTTTTTTTTGTATCTGATTTTGAAATGCATGCTTCAAATCGGTTGTTGTTGGTTTTTATGGTTTCCCGATTTATTTATCTATCAAAGCATATCAATAATCATTTCTGTACCTATTAATATAATTTCATATATTACTTTTCAATTGATGTATTGACCACTATTTTAACATTATTGTGATTTCCTAATCATTCAAAACAGAAGAATTTGGTTCTTTTTTTTGCACAACATGGATGTATATTGCATTTTGGTCACCAGGGAATTGTAGAAGTTCAAACAATGCTATTTTTTCTAATCACTTTACACCAGCTATATCTACTTATAAGAATGAAAATATCTAAACAATGTGAATAACAATCAGTTAATTTTTGGGGATCCATCTTTTATTTTGTGTAGAAGAGTAGGATGTAAAACTCCATTCATTTCATTTTCATTTTTAAATTTAGCTAATCTTTAGTTCATCCACAATGTTATTTTAATATTTATGTCTGATATTTGTTTTTAGTTCACCAACCACTTCCCCGAAAAACCAGCGTCTTGGTAATGGCTTTTTCTCAATTTTATGTTACATTTTCCTTACAATAACATGCATGTAGGCGTTATTATATTATTAATTTTATTCAGTTCATGTTAATATTTTGTTGTACTCCAAGTTAAAAAAAATACACAGCAACAAATTGAATCTGGTACGGTGTATATACGAATAAAGATAAGGATGCATGTCGGATTTTTGGAATAAATTTCAAAAAAAAGAATTCCAGTGTAAGCTACTTTCTTTACCAAATTTTATTTTGGTTTTTAGAAATTATTCCAAACGAAGTGTATGTGAGTAGTGATGCTGTAAGAACACCTCATGACAATCCAGCTAGTAAGTTAAGCTTCCTCTTAGTTATTTATTTTTATCGTTTAATATTGCTTTTTTTGTAATATTCCTGCTTGATATTAGTTTTTAAGAAAATATCAAATTTTAAATACACTGGAAAATTTTTGAGAGTTAATACATACTAATAGGTTATAAAGACAATATTTTTTATATATAACAGTATTATATTGTTTGTATTAGGTTCATATGCAACTACCCACTTACATCCCCCTTCCCCCAGGAAAATATTATAGTATATCAACTAAAATTGATGAAAATAGTGTAAAAAGTGTTCATATCCCATACAATAGATTAACTTTTATAGTGGCTTTGTTGAATGCTACAGACTAATAGCAATTTTATTATATGATTCAACATGATTTATATGTGTAACAGTATTTCATTGAAATTTTGTGTCACAAATTAAATAATTTAGTTACTGCTATTGTGAAAGTGTATACCGGTATAGCCTATTTATGGACACATAACTTGGCAATCTTTCAAAATAATAAAACTTCCCCTTTCAATTTTATCATATCCCTGAGACAACTTCCTGCTTAACAGGGAAGTAATATGAATGATAAGTCCTGAATATTATCATATTTATTAAATTGTCCATTATATGCCCACATGAAAATGTGGATAAATCTGAATAATTACTTGTTAACAAACCAAAATTGACAAAACACCATATATTTTCTATCACAGAGAGAAAGGAAAGGACTTTATAATCTCTTAACACAGTTGCATTTTTTACCATGCCATTTTGGTTTAGGATTTAGTGCTTATATAGTATTCCTATACTGTACTATAGCTGTATTCTTTACAGTTTCAATGACCACATGCTATCAAACTACCCCTGTTGACAAATAAAATTTAAGTTCTCAAGAATGGTCAATAAGAGTATATATTCATCAGTTAACTTACCTGGTGTCATAAAGTTACAACGGAATCGCTGGAAAATTGCAAAATTCATAAAACTAAGTAATTACTGAAAAACGTTTAATCTTAATATTAAATATTATTAAACATGGCATATTTATGGATAATTAATTTTTTGGATTTATCGGATTATATAAGGATCCTGTTATGTTATTTATGACACTAGGTATATCTACTGATGAATATATGGTCTTATTGGCTAAGTTTAAAATTCTTAAATTTTATGGTCATTTTAAGACATAGTATTCCTTTAATTCAGCTTTATTATGCTTTTATTAATATAGTGGAAATCCTGGAAAATGATCTGTATGTAGGCAGTGATGCCTTTTTTGGTAAAAATCCAGATGTAATCCCCAAAGGTAAAACAGTTCTTAACAAAATTGAGAACATTTTTATAAATTTATTACAAATTATGCTTAACACATTAGAATTTTTCAAGTGTAATCTATATCATTCTTATTTTATGCCTTATTATTGCTAGAAATCTACAAAGTTTTAGAGGCTTTCTCTATTATTCAATTACATGTAGTGTTTTATATATGTGTATCACATCCAGTGGCATGTTTTACTTGTTAAGATTAAACACCTCAAAGGAAGATATATGGATATTAATCAATGAATTAACAATAATGACGAACAAATATTTCAGTTTTTTGTGTGATTAAATTCTAATAAACCTTATCAATCATTATTAATTTGAGTGGAATAATATCAAGTTATTAAGAGATGGATTTTCTGGCACATCTAAAGATGGGAGTTTCTGGGAAACAACAGATACTATATGAGGTTGCAAAGCAAAATGAGTAAGCCTAAATAAAAAATATTTTAGCTCAGTAAAAGAAAAAATATTGAAAATTGTTACTTTTTGAAAATATATAGTGAACACCAAAGATGAAGAAGGAGGAATATTTTCTCAGCCAGTTCCTCAAGCAGAACCAGTATATGGACAAGTTGATAAACCAAAGAAGACCAAAGCTAACAAGAAGAAAGAGGTGCCTAAGAAGCCACCTAAACCAAACAAACAACCACCTGTTCCAGGCAAAATAGGTTAGTTCCCTTTAAGTTTGCCTTCGATCTTCATTAGCTCATTAGGTACAGAAAAGTAAACTCAACTCATTTGATTTGATTTGTTAAGTTTGTCTTATCTTTATACACAAACACATTAATGTGAGCGTATATAGCTGTTGCCTCTGTCTGTCTGTCCACAATTGTTGTGAACATGATAGAGAGCTGATTTCTTGACGGATTTTGACGAAACTTGGTTTATGTGTTCATAATCACCCAAGGATGAACCCTATTGAAAATGAGACAAATCGAAAAATATTTAATATGAGTTATTGCCCTTGTTCTTGAAAACGCATTCTATTTATTGTGAACATGATAGAGAGCTGGTTTCTTGATGGATTTTGACAAAACTTGGTGTGAGATTTTGTTATCACCAATGATCCCTATTGAAAATCAGACAAATCGAAGAATATTAGATACAAGTTCTTGCCCTTGTTCTTAAGAATGTGTTCATCTTTTAATTGAAATTGTGTTGTGGTCACAAGACCTGGTTTCTGGAGGGATTTTGATAAAATTTGGTGGTGTTTGTTATCACCTAGGGATGAACCCTATTGAAAATCAGATAAATTGAAAAATATTTGATATGAGTTTTTGCCCTTGTTCTTGAAAACTCGTTTAATTTTTAACTTGTGAAAGGTCTAGAAGGCACAATTCTTGACAGACTGTTAATTATTTCCCAATGATGTACCCTTTAGATATTAAAAAAAACCCTCAAAAGTATTTAATGAGTTATTTCCCTTGTTCTAGAAATCACATTTTAGGCACAATTCTCAACAGATTTTGAAGAAAATCAGAAAATTTTACATTTAATCGTGGTTATTGCCCTTGTTCTTAAAAATGTGTTCAATCTGTTGCTCGTAAAACTTCAGAAGACAAAATTCTGGACTGATTTAGACGAAACTTCTTGAAAATAAAAAAAAAAAGCTTTGAATAAAGCTTGTGCGGCATGAAAATGTTACTCCCGAAATATTTCATTTATTGATAGCTCTTGTCAACTAATTTTTGCCTGTGTTTTGCTGGAACAGTAATATTTATTTGATCAAAGCTCATTATATGCTACTAAATGAACTGAATTGTGATCGAGCACATTTGTGTTTCTTGGATTTTAACTTAGACCATGGAGCAGTATAGTGAGCAAAGTTCTACAGTACATAACTCACATGTAATCAGAAAGCACAGTTTCAAATATTAAGTTTCACCCATACCTCATTGGATTTTTTTTTTTCTAATTGCAGGAGAGGGCAACAACAATGAAGGTCAGATTTGTTTTTAAATTTTACCAATATCTACCCTACAATAAAAACCAATTGTGGTTGTCAGATATAGCGCTATTCCAAACTTTAATTCAAAATAGTAGAGGTGGTTTGCGTATCACATGATGCACAATTTAAAAGTTGTAAGAGTGGTTTGTCCTACCAATTGTCCTACTCATGTCATGCATGTGTTTTGTTTTTAGCATATCAAAGCTGATTTCTGATTTTAAGCCCTAATCTTGGATTACATTTCTAAGTAACTTGCATATCTAGATGTTTCATTTCTGGGTGAATGGATAAGACCAGCTGGTCTTTGGACCAAAAAAAGGTTGATTGTAACCATCTAGTTAGTGCATGGTTGACTAAAATAAAAGGAAAGATGACTTATTCAGGGTCACCAGACAACTGACTCAGATTTGAACATTCAATCACCTAATTGTTTAACGTTACCTAGCATATGGTATTCAAATTATAACGCTTTGACAGACTGTGCTACAGAAAGGAAAGGGTGATGTTTTTGACATTTGTATAATTTTTATCATGTTATTGTAATATAACATCTGTCTGAAATTTATACAATACAATTTGTTCTTTGTGAATGAGAAATTTTCTATAATTTTTAGGTGTGTACCAGAATACAGGTGCTTTAGGAAAAGAGGTAATAACTTGTATTTTTATACGCCCACATGAAATGGGGGGCGTATATTTCCGTCACCCATGTCCGTCGGTCCGTCCGTCTGTCCACAATTGCTCGTAAACACTCTACAAGACACAATTCTTGACGGATTTTGACAAAACTTGGTATGAGTGTTTATAATCACCCAAGAATGAACCCTATTGAAAATCAGAAGAATCGAAAAATATTTAGTATGAGTTATTGCCCTTGTTCTTGAAAACGCGTTCAATTTTTAGCTCGTAAACACTTTAGAAGGGACAATTCTTGATCGATTTTAACGAAACTTGGCATGAGTGTTCATAATTACCCAAGGATAAACCCTATTGAAAATCAGAAGAATCGAAAAATATTTAGTATGAGTTATTGCCCTTACTCTTGAAAACGAGTTCAATTTTTAGCTCGTAATCACTCTAGAAGGCACAATTCTTGACGGATTTTGATGAAACTTGGCATAAATGTTCGTAATCACCCAAGGATAAATCCTATTGAAAATCAGAAGAATTGAAAAATATTTAGTATGAGTTATTGCCTTCTTCTTGAAATTTAGCTCTTAAACACTAAAAGGCATGATTCTTGCTGGATTTTGACAAAACTTGGTTTTATTATTCAGTCCCGCACTGAAGATTGAATATTTGCCTTCTAGAGTGTTCACGAGCTAAAAATTGAACACGTTTTCAATAACTCATACTCAATATTATTCAAAATCGCCCTAAAGAGTTCAAAAGAAATGTATGACTGAAGGTTGAATATTTCATACTGGTGATTGTTACTGTACTGCTACATATTTTTATTTAAAATCAAAGCTGCCAGTGGGCGTATATTACCTTGCCTGGCAAGCTATCTTGATAAATTATGTGGCAAGAAACAAAATTTTACATCTTGATACAACTACATAGAAATTTTTGTTTTTTCATCAGTTACGTCCATTGAACTTTTAAATTCTTCATCAAGTAGCTTTTTCTTCTGTTGGCGCATTCCTATTTGTAGTGTGTGTTTTTATACGCCGTCCATCCGTAAATATATAACTGTCTTTCACTCTCAGAAACATTCATTTACTGATAACTCTTGTCAACCTCCTGGACAAATTAGCTGCCATTACAAATGTGGGCGTATTACGATTGCATCACTATTTTTATGTTGAGCAGCTGTGACGTGTGTGGGGCCAAGCAGGGTATATTTACTCTTCTAGACACCTGATACCACTTTTCATTTTGAAAAACTTACTCACTTATGATTGATATACTTTCAATGAAAAGCTCATTAGCTGCTACCAATATTTTGTCAATATGTTGTTAGATATTTTTGCAAATAAAAATGGCTATTTACACAAACGTAAACAGATTAGTGTCTCTGACCAACTAAGTGTTCGCTTGGCTCTTTTCTCATACTTCAGAAGAGAAAAAATGTTGAAGGTCTGAATTATGCTGATGTGGTCTTTTCAAACAAGAAACCAACCAATAAAGTCCAAGGAAAGAAGGAAGAAACAGTGTATGTGGAAATTGATCCAAAGAAAAGGGGGAAACCTCTTCCCGAAGAAGACAGTGATTAATATTGAGTTTTAGATGTTCTTTTTTATAATCCATGTCTTCCTGCAGACTAGGAATTTTTTTTATTTGAATTATTATTATTATTATTGCCCTTAGAATAAGTTTTCTGAAAGTTTTGGGATCAAATTCTTTACAGTCTTGATTTCAATGTCAAAAGCACTATCATTTGATTCAGTTACCAGTATTGACACAAAAATTACAATCTGAAATCAAAATTGGTGTATTGAAATTAAAAATTTGGAGTATAATTTTGCATATAATATAAAATTTAAAGCGTAATTGAATATAAACAAATTTTTTGTGGATGCACAAAACCTTATTTATTATATTTGCCTCTACATAATAACAAATCCACTATGTAAGAAACAAGGTTATTTTGTCTTGTATACTCGCTAAAGTTGCAATTAGACAAGTTATGTTGTCCAGTGTAGGTTGTTGATAAAGTAGAACTTAATTTCCCACCCGGACATATAAATAGAAATATAATATACTATGACACAATATTTATTGAGAAATGCATAAATTCAAAAGATGAGGTTTATTGTGTAATCTACCTGAACATCTGACTGATCTGTGATTTTTCTACAACTTCAGTATTCTTTTTGATTATTTGTCATGTAAATTGTTTTTGTTTGTTATTTTTGTTTTATTTTAGATACTAGTAATGTCAATTCAAATACTATCTTCGTATTGACCTTTTTTTTAACTTTCTAAATGTGTTTTTTTTATATTGTTGTAACAAGTGATTGTCCTGCAGTTCAATAAAAACTAATTTAAGTCACTGCAAGGGCTGTGATTGATTTTTTTGGGAATAATATCAGTATTAACTACTTAATAACTATTAAAGGTGACAACAATCTGAATGAGTATGCAACATTTTGGTTGAATTGCTGGAGAACCAACAAATTAGAATTTGGTTCTGAAATGAGATACCGTTAGCTGAATCTTTAAAAAACATACTTGCTTTTAGAGGCTGAAAATCAGTCATTCCTGTCAAAGATAATATTGTTGATTTTTGATTTATTCCAAATCATCTTGAATATTTATATTAATTACTCAAAATTTTAATCAAATGATTTTCAAGACAAAAAAAATAAAATTTTTTCTCACAATGGAGTATTTTTCAAATAATTTAAAGTAAAATTTTCAATACATAACTACTTAAAAAAATAAGAAATTAACATAAAATAAATGTTGAAATTTTGAGCATGATATTTAGTAATATTTAAGAAAAGCTTACATTATATTTTTATACATAGTATATACGCATATTTTTTTCATTTATTTATAAATATTTACTTATGATATATCTATTTTTCTTTGTATTTTCATAACATTCCAATTAGTTGTTGACGTTGATTTTAAAATTGTATATTCCTTGCAATATGTACTTCCTTACATACGCAATATCTACTTTAATTACTTAAGATATAAGCTCAAATTTGATAAATATTTTGTATCAGTTTTAACTGCTGTCTCCAATGTTCCCGACTGTTATTGAAGAAATGAATATCGAAATACTGATATTTGGCAAATTTTAATTAGCCCCTATGAGTTCAGTTACTGAATAAAATATAATAACATAAAATTATAATCAGTTTGCAATGCATATTGAAAAAACCTTTTATGTTTGAATAAATAAAATGGTTTCAAATGTTATACAAAATTGTCCAAAAGACCTACAAATTCAATAAAATTTCTTGTTTTGTACGACTATTAACATTTTACTTGCTCAGTTCCTATGGAGGTATAACGTTGCCAAGTCTATTGTGTTGAAACTTTAAAATATCAATGTTGTCATTACAAAACTATTTGTCAATGCTGCAAAGTACAATTGTCAATTTTTAAAAATGCAAAATTTATAAGTATTCTCCAAAATCCAATGAAATGCCACACGAATACAGATAACATTTGAACACTTTGTATTTTACACTTTACATTATCAAGCCTTGCATAATAGACATTACAAAATCGAACATATACCTTATAAGGAATAATGACGTACTCATTTGCATATGTAAAATAAAGGTGGAAATGTACGGAAATTTATAAATGTGCGTGAGCAATAAATTCTCACGTCGGTCAAGGTCGTTATACTTCCATAAGTTCCTGGCTATAAGAAAAAGGAATATTTTTGTAATAATTATTTTGTAGATTTAAGATTTTGAAAGTTTAATTTTGTAATAGAAACATTGAATTTATTTTTCTGATTTTTTTTTGTTTATTTTATATATTAGTATTTTTAATGTAACTTAACTGCTTTCATTATAACTTTTTTTTTTATTTTGAGTTTCACGCTATGCAATCTTCAGACAAAACTGATTTATTTTATTTCTCCGTGGTTTGGAAGGTCTTTCACCAATATGGTCCATCAATTTGTTATTTAAAGAACAGAAATTTAATCCTAATGTCTTATTGTCATTGGTTAAAATAAATACTATTTGATAATTTTCTGAAAAAAATATAGTGCCTTGACAAAAACTAAAAAAGAATATTAATTCCTAGTTTGGATCATTTTTCCCTCACAAATTAAATTAAACCAAACATTGGTTATCTGACCAGTTCAGCCATGAGCCAATGAAATGAACATGGATTTTAAGTGTCTTTATTTGCTTTACCTGCCAACAGAGCGAAAATTCGGCTATCTGTATCACTTTGCAGATTTAAAATCGACAATTTGTCCTCCTGCAATGCAACAAAAAAATACAGACACCACATCAATATTGTTGTCAATGTTATTTTCATACGAATATGTATTGAAGTTATTAGCCATAGTTTCAGTTTGGACCAAGAATGGTTATGACAAGCTTTTTAAGCCGGTAAAGCAAAAATACTGAGTTCCCTTTAAATTTAAAAATATGATTCTGGTAAATGCACTTTAGTTAAAATTTGCTTCTAGACTAGTCATAATATAACAATTAATTTAATTATTTTATTTAAAGCTTATAATTAATGAATAGCCACTTATACCACTTGTATTGCTTTTTATTTACTATTGGACTAAGCCCTAAATTTTCTAAAAAAAAAAAATTTTGTTCTAGTTTTGAAACAAATCCTTTAGAAGAGGAAATCATAAAAAAAAATTATTTTTGATGTCAATTCTTATTTTTCCTTTCAACCACAATCTATTACTTCCAAGCTAATGCAATTTTTAAAATATGAAGTCATTCTGAATGTGTATTAATGTTTGCAGTTATTATTAAGATTATGCAGTGTTTGTCAAAGAGCCTGATAATTGCTTCAATGATTTTTTGAAAGATATGCCATAATGCTGATTGGAATTTGGCTTCTGAATTTTGAATATAATCTATTGACAGTCTGTTATTTTCAAAGGCTATATGTCAAGCATCTCGGCCGATTTTGAAAACTGTTTACAGTGGTGTAACCTATTTTCGTGCCTATAAGGATTAAACACCGAATTTCGTCAAAGTTAAAATAAGAGAATTTTTTTTATGTCTTAGATGATTCCTCAGATATTCTACAAAATAATTAAAATCGGTTTGTTTCGATTTTCTTTATGAATCCATATTTCATGAGCAACCAACTCAGCAACCTATTTTCGTGTACAATGTTTGATCTATAAATAAGTCGAGAAAAACACGTTGTATGGATACCGAGTGGTAAAATTAACTTCTCTTAGTATTTATCTTTAATTTCAATTCATTATAACTAGTGACAATTCCTTCAAAGAACCACGATTTAAAAAAAAATAGTGACTGACAAAATAAGATACGTAGGGTGATTTATTGCTAAAAGTCACTAAAACAACATAAGAATATGGACCACTTTGTGTTCCATAGAAATTTTCTGCTGACACGGAATCCGCTAGTTGATCATGTGACTTCATTTGTTGGACTACATTCTATCAGACTACCTTTGGAATTCCGATTACAGCTTGGGATTATAAGGAAATTGGTCCGATAAAAAATGGTGACGTTTGGTAATAACTAAAATCCGCCATTTTGTATTTGTCAAGGTATGAAATAATACATTTTACCTTGCTTGAAACTACTGGATTCATTCTACTAACTGATATTGTAGAGATAACACATGTTTATCGAAACAAGCAAATGCGGAGGTCACGCGAGGTCACACATGTAAATTATGAATCATTTCCGGAAATGCACAAAAAATAGGTTAGCACGAAATTAGGTTACTTGACTGTATATAGTACACTACAATCTATTAACACCAAAATCTTTGAGTTGTTCGCGTGAGAAAGATTAATAGATGATACTAAAATTTACATTGTTCTCATACGTCTTGGTCTAGAATTCAGCTGATCAGTTCCATGCAAACATTCCAACTATTATTTCTGTTCAACTTTCTACAATTTTACTATTGATTTGTTACAATTATTTTTATATGTATGTTGCTTAGATAATAAAATATAGTTATTTTATGGCGTTTTTTTTTTATCTAGGGTCTACTCTCTGGTAGAGTTGCAATTAAAATCCAAAGGTCAAATGTGGCGGGAAATTTTGCATAACTAATATTATGGATTGTTGTAATTTCTTTCACGGAACGAAAATACTGAACTTGGGATAATATTCAGGGACTTCTTTATCATAAAATTATTATTTTTCTTTGCAAAATGAAATGGAACAGATTTTTTATTTGTGAAGCAAATTCGGCCTAATATTGACTTCACCTCAAAATAAGATACATTCATTCCATTGAATGAAATTTGATAGTCCATATTAGTTTGCCCAAATGCACATTTTTTGCACTATCAATTGTTGAGTTGGGATTTAAGTGACAGATGCGCCAATTTTTTGATCAATCAAACATTAGTCTCAGAAACGGGAATTTAGTTAAACCAAGCCAATCAGTAACAATGTTCACAGCTCACCCTGGAATTGGAACCTTCAAATCCATGTGTGTATCCGCGTTTTACTGTCAAAATGACGACTCATCATTTTAAGATACTCTGTGATATATAGAAAAGACATATTATATAGAAATAGTGAGTAAAATTCCCAGTTTGAAGTATTTTTAAAGGAATTATGCGATTTTCGTACATTTCTTGTAGGCCTACTACTGAAGATTATTTGCATTATTCAAGACTAATATCACCCCCACCCCCCCAAAAAATGGCGCAACTGTCCTTTAACCTTTAAATCATTCGATATAAAACTATGTCAAACTTGACAGCTGACTCGTAAAGATGGTCATCAGTGTTATGCACTATAACATGTTTAAAGGGACAAATTTGCCATTTTCAAGGGTTGATTTGGGTCTTGAGTAGGGGAACCGGGGCCAGTTGAAACAAGGGTAAGTTAACAAAGCCCATAATTCTTAACACAAACTCTACAGTTCCATAGAGTTATATCCTATCTGAAGAAGATGGACTTACTTGCGTCAAGAACTCGACTGTAAATGAGGCAAAACAGGTTTATCAAAAATAAGTATGCTGCAATTACCGGGCTGAACTTTCAACTAGTCAACTCTGAGTAATATTTTCATATGTCATATATATGTTGATTGATATGTCTTTAATGGGCCATCGTACAAAAGTTAAGGGAGACAGCAACTTGGTCATTTGATATTTCGAATAGGGACTAGTGTGAGATAGTATGGTATGAATTTCAATAAGTTCCTTTGACGGCTAAACCTCGCAAATTGCCGGTAAACTCTGAGTAATATGCTCATATAGGCCATATATATGTCGATTGACGTCTTTAATGGGCCACCGTACAAAAAATAACGGAGACAGCAACTTTGTGATTTGATATTTTGAATGGTGACTACTGTAAGATAGTATGGTATGAATTTCAAGAAGTTCCTAGTACCTTAAAGATGGGTTCCCTGTACATAAATGGACAGTCTAGATAAACGAAAAAAATCCTTTTTGACCTTTCTTGATCGGTCAATCATTGAAATTTTGCTGGTAATTTTCTTCTAGTTGAGCTA